GGGCTTCACTGGTGGCACAGTGGTTGAGAGTCCACCTGCCGATGCAGGGGACACGGGTTCGTGCCCTGGTCCAGGAAGATCCCACATGCCGCGGAGCGTGAGCCATGGCCACTGAGCCTGCGCGTCCGGAGCCTGTGCTCTGCAACAGGAGAGGCCACAGCAGTGAGAGGCCCGCGTACCGCAAAAAAAAAAAAAAAAAAAAAAAAAAAATCAATAGTAAAATAATAAGCTGTTATCATGTGAAATGAATTGCCTTCAACACACACAAAAGTACACTCCAGGTGGATTCAGATTCTAATTATGAAGAGTAGAACTTGAAAACCTTTGGAAGGAGATATGAAAGAATAATTGTGCTATTTGAAGGTAAGGAATATTATCTTAGAAAACTCCTCCAGAGCACAAACTGAGCTAGATCTATAGATAGAGCTTGTCTATCTCCACCGTCCCCTCCCTGTGCTGTGGCTGAGGAAGCTTACGGGAATGTGCTACATAAAAAAGCTCTCTGGTCCTCAGGCTGTCAGTCTGGTTTGCCAAATGGGTCACTGGCAGGAAGTCTCAGGACAGGGGGAAATTGAGGATGGGGTAGTTATTCTTCTGTTTCCCGTAACACCTGGCTACAGTGTATTGTCCGTGTCCTTGTACAATAGGCCACAGCTCCCCCTCAGCCCTTGCCCACCTCCAGCCCCCTCTCGAGGCTCAGGAGTAATAGCTGTACTTCCTGTCTTCACTTCTAGGAGTGGTTGCTATTCCTTGCCCTTGAGGACTGCTCTACCCCTTGTTGGTTTCCCCAAACCCTGAACACATCTTTGTAAATTGGCCCTTATTAGACTCTCCACAACTTCATGATTTTGAATACATCACGTGTTTTCTTTCAAGACTCTAGCTGATACATCAACAAGGAAAAGAATGATAAAAATTGATTTTAAACTTCTGCATAATAAAAGAATCACAGCACCAGCAAAGAAAGGAAGGGAGGGAGGAAGGAAAGAAGTTGCAGACAGGAAGATTTTTGCAACACTTATAACTGATGAAGAATTTCCATCCAATGAGAAAAGAAACAAGAAAAATGGAAAGGACTATAAACAGGAAATTCATAGAAGAGGGAACTATTGGGTTGGCCAAAAGGTTCGTTCAGTTAGTGAATACGTTGTTCAATCAAGTTCTTCGTGAAAATGAAAAATGTGTCTTTTATTATTACTTAAAACTGAATGGGGGCTTCCCTGGTGGCACAGTGGTTGAGAGTCGGCCTGCTGATGCAGGGGACACGGGTTCGTGCCCCGGTCGGGGAAGATCCCACATGCCGCGGAGCGGCTGGGCCCTTGAGCCATGGCAGCTGGGCCTGCGCGTCCAGAGCCTGTGCTCCGCAACGGGAGAGGCCGCAACAGTGAGAGGGCCCGCGTACCGCAAAAAAACAAACAAACAAAACTGAATGAACTTTTTGGCCAACCCAATAGATTAGCAAGAAGACAAAGCGAAACAAAAACCCAGGGTATTTAAAATTTTCCATCCCTACACAACTTTGGAGCTTCGTCGCATCTTCTCCAGCCTTCTGGGCAGCTGGGAAATACGCGCCTGAGGCAGTCAGGGCAGAGTCCTCAGTCTTCGAGCCTGCCTGGGAGTGACAGCAATGGGGCAATGACTGGAGGGGTTACAGAGGGAGAAGTCACTGTGTAATTATGGTTCAGGATAAGACCCAGGCTCTGGAGGGTGATGCAGCTGCATTTCACAGCAGCACAGAAGAGAGGGAGACAAGAGTGAGGACTCTTGTTCATCAGAGGTAGAGGCACAGGGATGTAGATGGGGCCAGTGATAGTGAACTTGGCGAGGGGCAAGTAGTAATTGAGGGACTTTGTCCCCCATGGTCTGTGCTTGGGAAAGCAATGGAGAACAGGGCGGCTGCTATGGGAGAGGCAGGAGGCAAGGACTGTGAGGTCCTGCGGAGGCTGAGGGCAGAGACAGGTGGTCCCTTGACTCTGGGCTTTTTCAACACCACACTGCAGAATGAGGTCCAAGCCGGCCTTTCTAAAATTCCATAACTCCCTCCTTAAAATCATAGGCTTCTGCCAAACTGGATAGCTCACAATTTCCTCTTAAATAACTTGCCTCCATCTTGTAATCTTTCGCTAGACTGAAGTCCCAAAATGCTTCTGTTGGTAACCATGGTTATGTGAAAGAATAATTTGTAAAGTGTTGGAAAAGAGATAACGGAGCGAAATAATTGTTTTTATATTTTCATATTTATTAGGGACAAATCCATAGGATATGCAAAGAAAAATAAATATGTACTTTTTAAAAAAGTCATATAGACCCTTTCAGTATTTTAATAGTCTATATTTCTCCATTCAAAATTTAGGACTAAGGATTTACAAATACAACTAGAAGATTAATTACCTGTATTTTGTTATGGGAGCTCCAAATTCAATTCAGTGCAACCCATTGTTGGATACCTGTTAGGTACAAGGTACTGCGTGTATGAGAGGGCAGAGGAAGGACTGTACAAAATACAGGAAGCCTTTGACCGTGGAAATGTTGTATAATGCTGGTACCTAAAATAGCATTATTCCAAGTAATTTCCATCTCCAGTAGTCTGCACTTTTTCCGCAGGCATGGAGGTAGATGTATGATCTCCACATAGGTGTGTTTTCCCATCACAGCTGACCTTCACGTTTGCTTAAAGCAATACTGCCGCTCCTTGTACCTCACCTCTGTTTAATGAGAGCCATTTCCGAATGCCAGCGTTGGGTTAATGGACTGAGATGGGAGAAAATCAAATGTATCTCTCCGTTTTACACCAGATTGCCTTTCTGCCTTGTGGCTTTAATCGCTCAGTTCTACTCACATCTGCCATAATAACAATTACGGGTTTTCTACCGACTTCTTACCCAGGAGGGTATGTCAGAGCATAGCAACATCTCCTGAAGAAAAGAAGAGCAAATTCTTAATCATCTTCCAGCGTCGTAGGTAATAATTTTCCTCTGCAAACCCCCAAGGAGTACTTCTTTTGGCTTTCACACCCACCATTCCCACAGGTCTTTGGCTCTGTTCTGATTTACGAGTTTTCTTCTATCCTCTTTCATCTGGGTTAAGTTTTAATTATGTAGACAGATTGTAAAAGTCTCTTTTTTCTTGTAAACAACTATTTCTTTGTTAGCAGTAGATTTTGTTTAACTGGTTTTCTCCTATCTGAATCTTCTTGTGGACTCAGGAATTGTGTCTGTTCATTGTTTAACTGCAGCATCAACAAAAGAGAAAGCTGGCTTCCCTTCGGAGTTTTCCTTGAGGGATTCAATCTTGGAACACCTCAAATTGCACATCTCCCTCGGGAACTGTTCTTTGTTGCATATGTTTGGAAAGCCCATAATATTTCAGTTTTGAATCAATATAAGAGCAGAGTATCACCCACCCAGTAAGCAGTATGATAATACTCTCAGTTCTTCTGCTTATTTAAAAAATTCCTCTACTACCCAAATCAAGAAAGTGCTTGAAATCCTCAAAAGCACTTGTGAAAACATTAACCGTTTTCTCTTCATCAAGGGACTCGGAGAAGTGGGTTCGAGAAAGCTCCTCAGGTAGTGCTGACAATCACTGCTCTTACTCTGGGACCTTCCGTGTATAATTAAAATATGAAGGGAAAAATGTATTTATAATAGGTCTTTTCATTGTTGTTTTGCATAAACACTTTTACCCATTTGGTGGATTTCTTTTTTCTAATCACGAGATCATTCTGCCACATCCACATCTAATTCGGACCTCACAGGTTACCTTTGAAGCCCGACATCTGCGTGAACATTGATTTTGCCAAGTATAGCTAAATATTATCCTTTCACCAGCCTAGCAATCTCCCACAGCATTTTTCAACTTTTACCTGGCACCTCACCAAACGCCTCTTAAAAAGGCTAAATCCGTATTCTTTCAGAAGTTTTTGAGGCATCTTTGAAGAGAAAGGAGAGAGAATTTTTAGACACAGCAGTGTATGTAATGTCCTCGCAGTGAGAAACCATTTATTCAGCCCATCCCAAGGGCGGGGGGGAGGGCGGTGTGGTCCGTGACCAAGGAACAGAGCTAAGGTCTTTGACCAGCCTTAGACACAAAGCCATGACCTTGGCCTCATTAGCTGGGCTGCTAACTATGTGAGCTCACCATGCAAGCTACTGCATATTTGCACGGCTGTACATAGGGAGCAGGGTTTCTTAACTTGGGTTGCAGTAAGTGTCCGTAAACATACTGATTTTTTTTTTTTTTTTGCGGTGCGTGGGCCTCTCACTGCTGTGGTCTCTCCCGTTGCGGAGCACAGGCTTCGGACGCGCAGGCTCAGCGGCCATGGCTCACGGGCC